CTAATTTACCTGCTTTTATATCTGTATATCTGGGTCCCTATTAGCCTATGAATCCTCCAGGACAAGGGGCCTGCTCATCCATTCCTGATTCTCCTCTTCCCCCTCCCGTGGCTATGACACACACAGGGCTCTCCAGAACAGTAGTGGGAAGTGAGATAAAGTGCTCATACCCATGTTGGGCATGAATTAACCACAGTGCACTGAACCCTCTCAGCGTGTGTCCCAGGTGCCCACAGGACAGCAACTCTATGGAAAGGCAGGTGAAGCTGAAAATGAAGATTGAGCCACTAGTCTAGACACCACACTTCTCACCAGGCCACTGAAGGTGCCACATGGCTACAAGCCTTTGTCCACACAGAGAGGGGTTTCTTGAGGCCATCTTAAAACTGTAAAGTCTGTCTGGCCATGACAGACAATTTCAGGGACCGGTCTCGTTCTCTGAACCTGCAGCCCAGACCCCAGGCCAGGGAGGGAGGAGTCCATTACACATTCCTAGGGATCTGGCCCCAAAGCCCTTCAACAAGGCCTGCCCTGTGCTATAAACCACCAAGTTTACCCATCCCAGTTTCCGCAAGGCACCCAGGAGGCAACCGAAGCCCAGAGAAGGCGGGCAGCTTGTTCAGAGTCACACAGTCATACTTTCCCACTCCTGGTCTGGCTTCTTTAATATAATAGGTTGCCCCATCCCTGCCCCACACCCCCTCTTCCATCCTGCCCTTCCTTCAAGGTCAGAGCAAGGCTACCCAGCCGAGCCTGTGTTGCAGGGTCTACTCCCCAGTCCCATCTCTGGCACAGTGCTCCTTCCTCTGTCCGTCCATCACTGGCTTGCTCAAGCTCTTTCCCCTGCCCAGAATACCCTCCCCACCCTCTGGCACCAGCAAACTTCTACTCATCCTTCAAGGCCCAGTTCAAATGTCACTTCAGACATCAAAGAGAATAATCACTCCCATTTTCTGAGTATCCATCCTCCACTGTGTTCTGGAAAACCAATAAAGCTGCTAGTGGGGATCCCAAGTTCCTTGAGGGCGGGGACCTGACTCTCTGGAAGGCAGGGGTAATAACAATATCTGCATATATAATTCACAAGATTGAAGGGGACAAAAGGGCTTTGTAAACTATTAATTCCTGTGCTAATAGAAGCTATCTGTATTATCTTTGACCCAGTTTCCGCATCTACAAAATGGATGAAGCTAATAAATGCACATACAGGTGTGCATGTTATACCTGGGCTGTGGAAGGACTGATTATTGTTGCTGTCTTTACTGGTGTCACCTTCATTTTCTTATGATCTCTGTGTGAACCTTGTCCATGGCCAGGGCTCAGTATATATATTTTGAAATGAATGACTTTGGCATTTGAGAAGTTAGAGAAAATGGGGTTAAAATCCAAAGACTATGTGAAAACACAGAGTTAAATCCTACCATCAGAAATGCTACGCCGTGGCCTTTAAGGTGAGCTCAGCTAGGTCACTATGGCACAGCGCCTTGCTTGCAGGGGACACAGGACAATTTCCTGGAGGGAGAAGGAAATGAGGAAACCCTGTCCTGGGGTGACCTCTTTGCTAGCAGCCCCAGCCCTGTGAAACAGGCAGTCAAGGAGCACCACTCCCAGAGCCTGGAGAGGGAGGTGTCCAAAGGCTAGACTTCAGGACTGGTCTCTGGAGGCAGCAAGGTACGAGCAGTGGCCTAACCCAAAGTTCGGGCCAGTGGGGTCCATTTCTGCCTCTTGCCAAGGGCAGGGGGACCCAGCAAGCCACCTCCTGGAGCCTCCGTTCTATAGCAGCTGCAGAACAAGCCTCCAGAAGTCCATGCGTGGACCACCTCTGAGTCCTGATCCAGCTTTGACAAAGGTCAAACAGAATCAATTCCAATCTGCCAGAGAATATCAAGTATAGTCCCTCTTTGGACAAATGAGAAGAATAAACCCCAGACATGAGGAGTGACTTGTCCAAGTTCATACAGTTAGTGAGAACATTTACTCAGAGGCCACCAAAAGTCAGCAACACCATCTGAGGAATGCCCAGACCCAGGCCCACCAGATAGAACCCCCTCCACCACCTGCCAGCAGAGCATGACTTGTTATCACACACATTGCACGGTGCAGTCACAGGATCATGCTTCACGGACTACCACATCAAGGTCCTTCCTGGCCACGGTCCCCAAGCATCTAGCAGTTAGTCCCTATTTGTCAATAGGCTGCTGAACCAGTTCAATGACAAGGGAGGTTTTCAGGGTGCAAGGGAGGCAAACAGTTACTTATTAATGATGATCATCCACTCAGACCTTTGCCAAGGTCCCCAGAATACATTTTTTTTTTTTTTTGAGTTGGAGTCTCACTCTGTCGCCCAGACTGGAGTGCAGTGGCCGCTCCCGGCCACCGCAGCCTCGACCTGCTGGGCTCCGGCGATCCTTCGGCCTCAGCCTTCCAAGTAGCCGGAATTACAGGCATGCGTACCACACCCGGCTGATTTTTTGATTTATTGTAGAGATGAGGTCTCGCTGCCCAGGCGGGTCTTGAACCCGCGGGCTCAGGCAATCCACTCACCTCAGCCTCCCAAAGACGTGGGATTACAGGCTGAGCCACCGAGCCCGGCTCAAAATACATTTTTTGAGCATCCCCTCTATGCTTCACTCCAGAGGACAGAGAAGTGGAAGCCCCAGCCAGCCCTGTCACTGAAGAGCTTACATTCCACCTGGATGATGACTCTAGAGGAACTCACCAGGTAATTCAGTCGAGTTGCCGGTTGGCACCAGCACTACCTCTCCATCTGTGTGGACACTGCATTTCTGGATGAGTCCTTACATCACTTGGAATTTCACTTGTGGCCACAGCACAGCTCTAGCCAGTAGGCTGACCGAGGGCTCCTGTGGCCCAGACCCTGGAATCCAGACCAGGTCTTGGGCTTCTCCAGAGCATCTTACAACCTGGGTTTCTCAAAATGTACCCTGAGGAATCACTGCATCAGATCACCTGGAGAGTTTGGTAAAGACGCAGGTCCTGGCCAGCTCGGTGGCTCAACCTGTAATGCCACGCTTGGGGAGGCCGAGGTAAGTGGACTGCCCAAGCCCGCGGGTTCAAGACCCGCCTGGGCAACTTGGCAAGACCTCATCTCTACAATAAATCAAAAAATTAGCCAGGTGTGGTAGTGCGTGCCTGTAGTTCCAGCTACTTGGAAGGCCTAGAGGGAAAGATAGCCGGAGCCCAGCAGGTCCAGGCTGCAATGGTCAGGAGTGGCCACTGCACTCCAGTCTGGGCAACAGAGTGAGACTCCAACTCAAAAAAAAAGAAAAAAAAGACGCAGATCCTGGGTCCCTTCCCTGAGAAGCAGATTCTGTGCCCCTGACAAGGTCCTTAGGTGATTCAAGCAATGTTCAACTTTGAAATCCAACCACTGCATAGAGCATGCCTCTCACTGGGAGCCCTATCACATCCAGTGGGGTGAAAATTGATTATTGGGAAGGAAAAAAAAAAACTTTTTGAATATATAAAGCACAGATAGGGCCAGGTGCAATGGTTGTCATCCCAACACTTTGGTGGGCCAAGGCAGGAGGATCACTTGAAGCCAGGAGTTCAAGATCAGCCTGAGTAACACAGTGACTCTCTGTCTCTACAAAAAAAACTTTAAAAAATTAGCCAGGCGTGGTGGCACACACCTGTAGTCCTAATTCCTCAAGAAGCTGAGGCAGGAAAACTACTTGAGGCCAACAGCTCAAGACTATAGTGTTCTATGATTGCACCTGTGAATAGACATTGCATTCTAGCCTGGGCAACACAGTGAGACCCCCATCTCTAAAAGAAGCAAACAAAAAAAACTCATGGCAGTGGGGTGAGTGGAATGTTGATTAGGAGAAAAAAAAGTCTGAAACATTTAGGGGAGTGATAATGAATAAAAGGTTGAGAGATACTGGCCTAGACAAAGGCAGCCATGACATTAGCAGGAAGACACCTCTTACGGGGGGAAAGCATTCCCAGTCCTGCCAGAGAGGAAGAACTCTGACCCCGGTCTCCTCTTCATATGACTCATCCCTGTCTCAAGGCTGAAGGGCAGAGTGATGTCACTGACAAAATAGAGACCCACAGAAGGAGCCACCCAGCAGGGCTCTGAGGCTCCCATGCCAGCTCACAAGCACCTACACACCGGGGGAGGGGGACAGCAAGGAGAAACAGAGCCGGCGCTGGGTGAAGGTGAGAGAGAACTCGCCCCACGGCCTTCTGGTTTGCAATATGGAGCCACCTGGCAGGGGCACTCCCAGCATCAGAGGCGAAAGACAACAGCCTAAGAAAGGGACCTTGCAGTGTAGCTGGGAAAGACCAAGCTGGCTCTGGGAAGAGAGACAGGTAGGAGAAGAGGAAGAATGTATCTCTTCTGTAACAATAGCTGTAATAACAACAGCAGCTAACTGTGCCTTGACCATATGCTAGACAGGCACAACCACCCAATGCACTGCCCGGGGAAGAGGGTCACATTATTATCAGCTGCAGGTCAGCTCCATGAGGGCAGGCACCAGGCCTGCCTCAGGCACTGCCGTACTCCCCAGGACCTGAAACGGTAAATATGTGAAAATGAGCAAATCTCCATGTAACACATAAGGGAAAGAACCACAAAGAAGATAACTTATCCAAATCCTCAGGGCTAGGGCATGGCATAGCCACAATTCAAACACCAGCAGTCAGACCCCTAGGGTCTGCCTTCCTCACCCCTGCATGTGTCTAATTAGGCTCAGAGATCCCAGCAGGTGACTTGTAGTCCAGATGGCTCCATGACTGGCAAGGGGAAGAACAAGATAAGGGCACCATCCCAACTCAGCCACTTCACACCAGGCAGAGCGTGACCCTGGTGGCCAGCAGGGGCACACAGCGCTCTCTCAGAAAGGTAGCACAGTGCCTGACTTGGCCCAAACTGCCCAATGTGCCCATAGGAATCTCAAACACAGGGATGCCCAGGATAAAACCACGTGAGCAGGGACATAGGGTTTGGCTTAACGAGTCTTGTCCCTTACCAATCCATCACAGTTGCTGATGGCAACAGCTGCCCCAGGCATTCCAGTGACACCTCCAGTGTACACACACTCCTGCTGCAAGGGCTCCCTGAACAGCTCCCGAAAGTCTTCCTGCCACTCCACTGAGGCTCCTGGCACCACCAGTCTCCGGTTGGGCCGCAGGCTCAAGTGCAGTTCCTTCCCGAAAATCGTCACATTGAAGTAGAGAGAGTGGCGTCCCGCCCTGCCAGGCCACAGGGTCCGTCCTGGGTGCAGGGGGCTGCGAGGCACCCGGAGGTGGCTGGAGTGTGATGGTCCTTTGGGTGGTGTGTCCACGACCACCCTCCGTGTGGAAGCTGCTGCAGGGCCGGACACCACGTGGGAGAGGAAGTGTCCTCGAAAGTCTGTGCTGCAGGGTACCGTCACACCATAGTCACTGAGCTTTCCAGAAAGGTGCAGCTCTGTCAGAGGTAAACAAAGAATCACTTCAAAGCAGCCTGTGCAGAGGTATGGGGAAGTCAGAAATCCCATGGGAGCAGGGAGAGAGCCGCAACCCTGAGTGTCACCCATGGATGGACCCCTTGCCCAAGTTCATCCATGTGCCATCCACTGCTTCCAGAACTCCTGGGTTTCTGTACTTGGGTGAAAGGTGTTCAGGTACTTTGTGGACATAAACTGCTCCCTGTAGCCCCCAGGTCCTTTTTAAACTTAGAAGAAAACAAATGGTGCCAAACAGAGTCCTATCACAAGTAACAAGACTTGCAAGCTTGAGCACAAATGCATGGCCTAGGGAAGGACTGAAATCCCCCCAAAAACCCCCAGCAAAAAGAGGGAAGGCCAGATCTACCCTAATCCCCCCAGTGTGCTGAAGTCACCAGCCCAGGCTAGGGTAGGGCCCTCCTCCCCCAAGTTCCAAAGAAGGCAGCTGGCAAAACAAACACACCTAGAAACCCAGGAGATTGTGGGCACGTGTCAGGCAGAAGGTGGGGCTGGAGAGGGGAGGGAGGGAAGTTACACCGGTCTATATTTTCCAGGGTTAGAAAGGAAACTTTTCAAAGCTGCACAGTGGCTGCCGAGAGTTCTGCATGGCTCAGCCCCAAGCTGGATAAATATAGATCTTCAAAAATAAAAGGAGGCACAGGGGGTGACCTGCCCACTTGGGCTGAATTAAGTGTGAGGTCATGGCCCCATGCTCCTGGTCACATGCCAGCGGGCCCATCCTCACACAGCTCTCCGTGAGCCCAGCTAGGCTGGGTAGGAATGACAGTTCGCTGGCTTCCAGGCCTGGTGATTCATGCATGTGAGTTTGGGAGGGATTTCATTTCTACACAGCCCGACCTCTCGCTCCCCCAGTTCACACACTGATGAAACATAAGAGAATGATGTTTCCTGAAAATCCCCTACGCCCAAGCTCTAGTTTTACCAATTGCAGCAGAGAATCCCCAAAACTGCTGAAAGAAGGGACCCACTTTGCACATGAACAGAGCTCACAGACAAGCAGACATCCTCCCTGGAAATGACCGGAGTCCTGTCCCCACGCTCAGAGTCTCCAGGAGGGTAGCCCATGCCAGGTATGGTGAAGAATATCTGGTCTGAATGTGAAAGCATACCCACCACTCTGAAAATGCTGTGTTGGGGGGAGTCAAAGGATGTGAGTTGCTTCTGTGCAGGGGTGAGGGTGCCCAGTATTCTCTGGGGGGGGGGGGGGCAATCCCCTGTTAGCCTGATTTTGAGTATGGGATAGTCATGCACACACAAACACACCCGCATATCTGTGCACACAAATTGGAGACAGAGGACACTAAAAGAGAAAGACACAGGACACAGGACAGAGACAGAGAGAAACAAGGAGACAGATAAGCTGCCCCTAAGAAGAGACTGGATGTTCCCAAATCCTCTCTCTTTGCT